GGGAAGAAATGCAGAAATGACTAGAAGGTGGGGATTTTATTTAGATTAAATATAGAAAATATAATAAACTAGTATATGTTAAATACAAAAAACAATAGACATAAGTATACATGTTATATAATCACCATTTAAAATTTACATGTGTTTTAATTTAATATGCAATATATTTTAATTCAACATAATTTATTATAATTTTTATATTTTGTGTATTTCACTCAACATTATTTTTTACTTCACATTTAATTTCATTTTTATTTATTCCATTTATTTTAATATAATTCATTTATTTTATTTTATACATGTTTTCTTTGTACTTTTAAATGTTATTTATTTTTATTATTTTCTCATTAATTACATCCTGTTTATTATTTATTTTAAATTTATATTTTATGCTTTATAGTCTTAATTTTGTTTACTTTTATTTCATTTTATAGTATGTTTATCTATACTTAGTTGTGTATTTGTTATTTTTTATTTAATTAATTTATTTACCTTGTTTTATTCATATCTAATTACATACTATATTTCAATATAAATTAATTATTGGTAGTATATTTTATTTGTTAAAACTTTAATATCTTCTTTATTCTTATTTTATCACTTTTATTTAATTACATACTTAAATATTATTTGGTTTAATTAATTTATTTCATTATATTTACTTATTTATATATTCAAATTTTAACTTTTAATAAATCACTTTATTGGGGACTCTTACAGCTGTTATAAAAATCCATACATGAATTGTATCAAGCACATTTGTACATATGTTGCCATCATCATTTCCAAAACATTTTCTTTCTACTTGAGCCCTTGATATCAGCTCCTCTTTTTTCCCCCCTCCCTTACCACCCTCTCACTCTCGTGAACCCTTGATGATTTATAAATTATTTTTATTTTCATGTTTTACACTGTCTGCTGTTTCCCTTCACCCACCTTTCTGTTGTTTGTCCCCCAGCGGGGGAGGGGGAAAGAGTGGTGGATGTTGATTATTGCGATTGGTTCCCCCTTTCTCCTATGTTCACTTATTTTAATTAGCTTAATTCTATTTTATATTTCATTCAATTTCTATTTATATTCTAATTTTCTATTTTAAATTTAAATTTTATTTTTTTGAGACTATACCTAGCAAAATATACAATTCAATATTTCTACACATAAAATTTAGTGACATTAATGACATTATTCAAGTCATACAACCACTCTCACTCTCCTTTTCTAAGCTGTCAGCACAAATGTAGTGTCCCCTATGATTCCTATCTAGTCTTTTGAGTGGCTGTTGTAGGTTGGATGCCATATAGATAGTTATTAAAGGAGCATACCGTAATATTCCATGCGGACCTTATATTAAACTCTTTGGTTTTAAGATACTTTTGGTCTATCTCATGGTACTAGTTTCAGGGTTCATGCAGGAGTCTGTATCCATGAGAACTTTTCATTCTGTCCTGTATTTCCCCCTTTCATCAGGATTCTTCCATGTAATCTTTGACCACAGTGTTCAGTAACAACAGCTAGGCAGAACCCAATTCTTTTGGTCTCGTGCAAAGCAGAAGGCAGCAATGAGCCACACATTCCACTTCCTCCTCCTCGCCCTGATGCTCTTCCTTCTTCCCTTCTCCCAGAGGTAGAGACCAATTGTTCTGCCTTGGATGGCCACTTTTAAGTTTTTAAGGTCCCAGAACTATGCAAGGAATTAGAAGGTAGAATAGAAGCACTAAACACATGATTACACCAATTTATTGGGTTTGTCCCATGAAACTAATACCCTAAACCTCCAAACCAAGGAACCAAAGCCTTTGAAAAAACGAAACAACCCCCGGAACCAACCCTTTTTTTTTTTAAGCAATTGTAAATACGTCTATCATATAAATTTTGCTAATTCAACTTTTCACAGGTATACATCTTATTGACAGCAATTATAATGGGCTGCGCAACCCTGCCCTTAACCAGTGTGATTTTTTTCCCCATCACTGTTAGCTCTACTTCCTCTCTCCCTCCCATCCTTCGTACCACTAAGAAACTTTGAGCTCTATACACTTGCCTTGTCTTTTCATAAATGTGAGGTTGTATTTGTCCTTTTGTGATGGGCTTATTTCATTCAGCATGTCTTGAACTCCATTTATCCTGTCACAGGTTTCAAAACATCATTCCTCCTACTGTTTGAGTGGTGTTCCCTTCTATGGATGGACCACATTGATTGCCTCCTTGATGGGCACTTAGGGTGTTTCCAACTCTTGACCGCTGTGAATAGGGCTGCTCGATATTCACATATCATTTTGAGCCACTGCTTTTGAGTCTTTTGCGTGTGTACCTAGGAGTGGAATTGCTGGGTCGGAGGATAACTCTATTTTTAGTTTAGAATCCAGTAACTATGTATATAGTTATAGTTATATATCAAACTTAGACAACAGCCAAAAGAAAAATAATACAATCATAAAATGGGCGAAATATTTGAGTGGACCTCTCACAATTGGTGTCCTGGTGGCATAGTAGTTACGAGTTGGGCTGCTAACGGAAAAGTCAGCAGTTTGAAACCACGGCCACTCCTCAGGAGAGAGGTGTAACTCTCATAAAGAGTTACCATCTCAGAAACTCACAGGGGCAGTTCTACCCTGTCCCATAGGGTGGCTGTGAGTCGGCACCAACCAGATGGCAGTGAAGGTTTTTGGGGGGTTGTTTTTGTTTTTACCAAAGAGGACATGCAAATGCTTCCAACACATTAAATGATGCTCAGTGTCATTAGTCATCAAAGATGTAAATCAAAACCACAATAAGATAACTTCTCACTCCCTCTAGGGTAGCTGAGATTAAAAAAAAAAACAAAAAACAGAAAATAACTGGTAAGGGGATATTGGAAACCTTGTCCATTGCTG